TGTCTTGAGTGAAGCTATGTGAAGAATCCTTTGGTGTCAAAGACTGTTGGCTACTCCGCCGCACCAAGGATGTGAAAGGGGTTCTGGCTCTCCGCTGCACCAAGGAGGTGAAAGGGATTTTTTCTCTCCGCTAAATCGAGGAGGTTAAAAGGATTTCAGTTCTCCACTGCATCGAGGAGGTAAAAAGAATTTGGGATCTCCATTGCATCGAGGAGGTTTAAGGGATTTTGGCTTTCTGGGATTCCTGCTCTTCGCCGCACCAAGGAGGCGAAAGGGATTACGGCTCTCCATTGCACCAAGGAGGAGAAAGAGATTTTGACCCTTCGCCGCATGAGGAGGTAAAAGGGATTTCGATTCTCCTCCACATCAAGAAGGTGAAAGCGATTTCGGCTACTCTAGTGCACTTGGTTGGTGCAAGTGATTTTGTAAGGGATTCTTCGTCTAGCCGAGGGGGTTGAAGGAGAGTCATGATTATTTATTGTAATACTCAAAGAGGGCTTCAAGGAATGGACATAGGTTAAGTTGCACAATAAAATTCTAATTTGCGTTCTTTTATTTTTCGCATTTACTTTTCACAGTTTTTACTTTCCTACATATCTTATTTTCTATAATTTGGTTTGTGTTTGGCTATCATTGTGATAGAAAGTTAGTTTGTCGTTGATCAAAGTTGATTTTTTTAAAAAGAAAAAAATCAAAAAATAAAGGAAAAAAATTATTATTTGTTTTTTCTATAAAATCAAAAATACAAAAAATAGTATTTGCTTTGGGTAGACATTGTGAATTGTGATCGCTTCAACATTGAATTAGATTTTGGTTTTTAATTCAAAACTTTTGAAAAGTTTTAGAACACCAACTTACCCTTCTCTTGGTGTGTCATTCCATAGTTTAATTGGTTTCTTCACTATCTTAATAAAAAAATATAGGGAAAATGTCAGAGATTTTGAAGTCTCCAAGTGAAAAGTCAAATGGTAGTGATGAAAGCTATATCAAGTAGGGCATCAATGAAGACTTTGTTGGTTATAGATAGGATAACAACAAAGGAAGGCCGGCAATGAAGGCACGACAGTACAAAAAACTCAAAATTACGGCAATAGAAATGAAGGCTCTGATACCATGTTAAATTGAGAGAATTGGAGAGGGAAAATGTTTAATTTTTGCACAAAAATATCCCTATTTATAGATCTATACAATATATCTTATGAAAGAAACAAATAATTACAAAATCATGCATAATTGCTTTGATATAATCCTTCATAATCAGCCAACTAAATATGGAAGGAGATCGACGTGATCCAGATGAGCCTCCCACGGATTCCCATCTTAGTCATGGGATCAAAATGCCAAGGGACAGCTAGGATTTAACTGATACTAATTATAAACTTCTCTCATGTGGAACAAGTTAAGCAAGCTCTTTCTCGATTGTTAAGAGCTAGTAAACTGCACACAACTTGATGAAAAAGCTCATTCTAAGAATTGATGCTTCCATAATGTTGTTGGCCATCACCACAAGGCAGAATCTTTCAGGGTCATCAGAAGTACCTTAGTTTCGGAGACGTTGTGAAGGGTCATCATCTTTAATCCAACAGTGTGATTGACCAGGTCATCGTTGCCTAAAAGCTCTTTAATTTCAGCATTTTAAATTTGGAGGGAATGCTTACTACTAATTCTTTGGGGTGAAGTCAACAGATGTTTTGCATCTTCTTGTTCCTTGTGTGAAAACAAACGATCTCCCAGGTTTTTCAGGTAGGTAAATGTCGGGGCCTTGGTAAGGGATCACATTCAGACTGTGCATAGGCTTTGAAGGAGAGCCTGAGCTTTCCCGAAACAACTATATATGTTGAAGTTCTAACGGATTCTGTATCACTTTTTCAGTCAATTGCTGGCCTTCTGTCTCTGGGAGGGAGACTTCTGTTAATATTGAGTACGAAGCTTCTGAAATGTTTGACTTGCAAAATGTAGTGATATCTATACCTCTTCCTGCAACTCGTGAGGCACCAAATGTTCTTCAGATAGATGGGGAATGGAGGTGGGTTTTATTCATCACATATTTTGTTTCTTTTAAATTCGGAAGTGTAATAAGGTGAAAAGAAAATAATCTTTATTAGTAAAGAAGATGGTTGGAGCTTCTGATTTTTGAAGAATTTTCCTGGTTATGGTACTTCAAATGTGATGACGTTCCCGTCACCTCTTGCTAGTCGATCCTTGAAATCGACCAGTGTGCTCCATCAGCGTTGTTCTAAAATATATCTCATTTTCTTGGGGCATTTTATATCCGTTTACATGTCTTTTCCATGGTAAATATTTTCTTATTTACTTTTTCAAGAATTTTACCTTCTAAAAATATTGTAGGTATAATTCTAGATCATCTACATTGGAGTGGTCAATCCTTCTCATTGAAAACACAAACCGCAGGTATTGAGAGCTATATAATCAAAAGAAAAGGTTTTTACTTCTTTACTCTTTTCTCAGTTAATCTTATATTTGTTCTACATTCCAGTGGATCAATGGAGTTTGTTTTACCTCCAGCTGATCCTTCTGCATTCTTTCCTATTAACATCAGTTTTAATGCGGCAAAGACATTCAGCGATGCAAAGGTTGGTAACCTCATCGTAATTCTATATTTTTCTTTCTACTAATGTCGTTAGTAATTGAAGCTTTGCAAATATGAAGATGTGATGTTATACTATCGGACCTGCAGGTTCGACTTGTTTAACCGGGAAGCAATTGGCTAACCGATTCAATTTTTCCCTAAAACCAGCTTTGTAATAAACCAGATAAAATCGATTTGCCATAGTTTTTAAGAACTAATCGGTTTAATTTATCTTTTTTCATAAATTTAATAAATTAAACTAAATTTACTATATTTAAATTTAAAATGACTTTAAATTTGTTATAATAATCAATTTTTAAATAAGCTCCAACTAAGCTTACTCATATGACATCATCATTCATGTGTTTACTCACATGACATTATCATCCATATGACTTCTTTGCTCATTCAATTAAAACAAAAACTATATAAAGTTATAAACAATACTATCCAAAAGTGTTCAGGTAATGTGGGACTAAAGAATTAAGATGAACTTCAATTAACATCACAAATGATATATTTTTAAACATAATTTTAATTAATTTTTATAATGTAAATAATATTTACTTTTTAATTAATGATATTTAATATTTCTTTATTTAACTATTTAACTATGTAATACAAAAAAAACTTGTCGAATAATCATGACATGATTTTTGTAATACATTGTGTTAATGTTAGAGCGTTCTCTTGAAGCGATGTGTTATATAGTTTGAATACAATGAGAAGCGTGCAAAGGTCATTGCATTGGCGCTTGGATGCAGTGTTAAATATACAAGGATTCTGTTGACATCTGGACAACATACATGAGCATACCAAATAAAAAATTTTAAAATACCTGCACTCTGTCAAAGCCATACTGAGACTTCACCCAAATCTCTGCCGAAAATTTCTTATGGCTAACGAATTTGCTCTGCTAGGGTTTCGCTAGGTTTTTTGCGACTCTCTGGCCGCCTCCGCCGCCACCTCTCCCCTGAGGAGGACCTCCTTTGAGATGTCCTCCTCCATCTTCCCCCCTCTAAACGCCTCCTCTAAACCCTCTTCCTCCTCTTCCATTCCTCTTTCAGGTGACTGGAAGGGCCTAATCGCTTCGCAACCGCTGGTCACGAATGAGTTTACCTCCGCGATCTCTCACTTCCCTACTCAAAATGCCACTGCTCATTTCACTGCAGCTCAGTTCAACGCCGGTTCCCCCGAATGGGCCCTTTCCCTGGTTGGCTACTCTATTGGTCGCCGCCCATACTACGAAGCTCTCCTTGCAACGATCAAAAAGACTTGTACGCTGAAAGGTACCCTTACTCTCCTCACACTTGACGAAGGATTCTTCCTTCTTAAGTTCAACAACTGTGAGGACTACGATATGGCGTGGCATGGGGGACCTTGGTTCTTCTTCGGCAAGCCCTTTATCCTCCAGAAATGGACAACTGACTTTGTGCCTAAAAGGGAGGAGTTCCCCTCTATCCCCCTCTGGATCAAGATCAAAAACTTCCCGCTCTCGTGCTGGACGCCGGACGGGATCTCCAGGATTGCTAGTTGTGTCGGAATTCCCCCGGCGGTTGACGCCCTCACAGCAGCAAAAACGCGGCTTACTTTCGCGAGGGTCTGTGTTCAGGTGAGTAGCTCGTCACCTTTACCGGATGAAATTTATTACCTTTGTGCCTAAGCGGGAAGAGCTCCCCTCCATTCCCCTTTGGATCAAGATCAAAAACTTCCCGCTCTCGTGCTGGACACCGGAGGGGATTTCCAGGATCGCTAGCTGTGTTGGCATCCCTCTAGCGGTTGACGCTCTCACCGCTGCTAAAATAAGGCTTACGTTCGCGAGGGTCTGTGTTCAGGTGAGTAGCTCGTCACCTTTACAGGATGAAATTTATTACACTGTAGATGGGAAGGTTTTCCCGCTTACTGTGTTGTATGACTGGAAGCCGTCTCACTGCTCCTTCTGTAACTCTATTATGCATTCCCCCAATTCCTGCCCCCAGAACCCAAACCCCCAACAAACCGAAATACCTCAAAATCGTGGCAGAAGTACTAGTCGTAAGCCTAGAAACCCTCCTCCCAGGCTTAATATTCCTAAACCACCGGTTTTTACACCTTCTCCCCAAACAACCAACACCACAGACCCTCCTT